TTTTAAAACCAAGCTATAAATTCATTACATAATTAATTCAAGATCTTACAAATATTAATAAAATTAAAAACAAACTAATAACATTTTAAAACACATACATTTAATATTTACAATCCGATCTTTTTATAGTATAAATTCTTAATCCTTATATTTTTTTTTCCTTTTGTTTTAAGTACACCAGCCTTAGTAACAAATTTTCTTTGAGCTTATGCTGGTGTATGTTTAATTTTTGTTACTGGTTGTTTAGGAAGTTATGCTTCTATAGAGAATGTTACTTTTACAAGAATTGGTGTCTCTACAAGTGCTGGTGTTTTTATAAGGGCTATTGTTTCTACATGTATTGATTTTCTACCATTGAATCCTTTAAACCTCTACCCTTAGATCTTCTTAGTGTAGTTATGAATGTTATAAGAGCTGATATTTCTACAAGTGTTGGTGCTTGTGTAAAGGCTATTACTTATACAAAAATTGATGTTTCTACAAGTGTTTGTATAGGGATTGGCGTTTGTGATATTGATGTTGCTAGTTTTCTACCATTTGAACCCTTTAAACCTTTTAAACCTCTAACCCTTAATCCTCTTGATGTAGTTGTACAATTTTAATTAGAACTCAAAAAAAAAAAAAAGTGATAATGTTATCCTTATCAATTGTTTAATTTAGAAATACATTAGATACATATTTTTTACTTGAAACTTAAATCCAAAATCAACATTAACTTTTTCTTAAGTATCTCTTACAAATCAACATTTGTAAGGGATAAAGCTTCAGGAGGTGATTGTTGAGCAAATCCATGAAAATGAAAAGCTTGATTAGAACTCATCTAAAAAAGAAAACAAGTAATGATATTATAGCCATCAATATCAAGTTGAAAAATAAATAATTAATGTATTGTATGTTACTAACATTTTCATTGTTTTTGTTTAAACATTTTCTAGAATTGTATCCCAAGTGAAAACATTTTTGACACCTCATTTTCTTCTTTTTTTGATTTGATTCTATTTTTTTTAGGCCAACTAGGCATTTTTCAAGAAAGAAGAGGATCAACAGTACCTATTTTTATTTCAACCCAAAATTTATCACTTGGTACTGGTAACAATACATAACTATACAATTTTTCATTCGTCTTTTTCTTGTAGGCATTTATGATATAGTTTTTAATTTTCTCATTCCTAAATAATATCACATGTATTGCATGTGGGCATAAAATACCAGTAAGATCCTAAAACCTAAATGTACATTTTCATCTTTTGATATTAATAACAAATGTATCCCTATTACATAAAACTTTAAACCCTTCTTCACCATTCCATTTAACATGGTAGTATGCATTCAATTCTTTATTTTCTTGAATCTTTATACAAATTTTTGGACAAAACAAAGTATTCTATGAAGCAATTTTTTTTTTTTTGTTATTGACTATTTTATTCATAACATAGTGCCTAATTTTCTTAAATATAGAAATGATGAGAATATAGTGCCCAATTTTCTTAAATATAGAAATGATGGGCATATGCCTAGCTCATATAATAGAAGCATTAAAGGGCTCAGTAAAATTATTATCTATCATATCATAATGATATCTAATAGAAAAAAAGCTCTAGATCAGTATATAAAGTTTTTGTTCAGCATGTTTATCGGAGCTAATATCTTTAAAACACCAAGTTTTGTTGCATGGTTCTTGAAATTTGCCTTAGTTTTTAACTTATAGCATGATCAAAACAGTAAATGCAAGTTATTGCCTCGATTTTTCATCTTTCAATTTACAAAGTAATGTTTGTCATAAAACCTATGCTCAATCTTTGATAACAATACACTTATCACATTAATCAAACCTGTATAAAAAGAAATATAAAATAAAAATTTAAAAATAGTAGAAGTTGACTTAATAAAACTCATTAAGTTTAGTTTATATACATTTTACATGTCACTTAAATAATGAATACATCCCCATCTTGAAACTCAAAATCAATTTAAAGATTTTCAAGAAATTATCTCCAGGTGTTCTTGTTTTTCACTTTAACCATAGCTTATGCAATATGATATATTTGGTCATTTATATCTCGATCAACTGTTGTAAGAAGCTCACGCTTGAAAGGTCATTTTATAAAATAACCATCCAAATGAATAATAGGCCTATAAAACTCCTTAAACCCATTCTTCATGACACTAAACCAAACAATAAATCTTTTAAATTTTAGCGTTTCAGTTAGAATAAGCCTTTCCATCATAAAATCCACATGACTTTTATAATTTGTCATTCTTAAAGCATGTACATAATTATACAACCTACTAAACTCATACTTTACTCTACCATTGATCTTTTCAAAGCTCAATTTTTAGGTCTACTACAAACAGTCATATTGATATAAACTTTGAGTTCATCTTTAGCAAGCTTTTACACCTTAAGCAACTTAACTTTGGAATGATTCTCAACTTACTAAGAAAATGTTGCCTTACAAACTTATAATTAGCTTTTGAGTTTAAAAATGGAACATTCATGCTCACTTACCAATGTTTTAACCTTGAACAAACCATCACTATTATTCTTTACAGTATATATTAAAAATGAGTAACCCTTTACCTTACACGCAACTCTGACCCTATCTTTCATTTCTAAGCAATTTAAAATCAAATCTTTTTACCATCACATACTTGTCTAAAGCTTTTTTAAACTACTTACTATTACTAAATATCATATCAAGTTCAAATCTAGGCACTTGATCTAAATAATTAAAGAAAACTTACTTTTTTTTTGCATGCTATATTGCCTTCCATATTATTGTCATAACTATCAATGTCGAATGATTCTAACTAATCAATCTTATTTCCACTACAATAACCTCATCTGTTTTTTTCTGTAACTTTAGCTTTTATTTTTTTCTCTTGTAGCCCTTTTCTTTTCTTTACTTCATTTACTAGATCTTTAAAATCTATCTCAACTGAGACATCATTAGCCCTAAAACTTTTTTTTCGTCTAAATTCATTATATTTTTGCCTTATTTCCCTTATCTCATCATCATCATTTTCAAACACCTATTTATCATTCACAAACTCTTCATCATCATCATTATCTAATTCATCTTCACTGAACATATCATTTTTTAAGATACCTTCATTGGCCCTATCATTTTCTTTCACCTTTCTGAACCTTGTCATTTTTTAATTCATCCTCTTTAGACATATTGTCATCATTTCTTGCACCAATTGTTGGATCATAATCTATTAGTACATTATTTACAACACTACTAGGTGACCCATCTACATTTGATACACCTACTTTCTCATTCATTTCAACATTACTACTATCACCTATCCCAACATCTGACACATTTGGCACATTAGAACTTAATTTATAATTTCAGGTATGAAAATCTCAAACTCCACATAAATTTATAATTATCTTACATTGGTGATATGGTTTATCATAATAATAAATGATGTATTATCACAATGATAAATGATGTATTATCACAAACTACCCTAAGATTAGTCTCTAACTCATGCCCAAGTTTGAAAAATGAAAAGCATTTTACAGTAACATACCTAACTTCTTCAACCATATTAGTTAACATCTCATAAGATAAATAATTAGAATCAATAGATCATTCAAGCACATCTTTGCTCACATAGGCTACACTACTATTTTTTACAAAATTTCCATTCAAATGCATAAATAATGTATATTGCACCCAAGCAATTGTCCTATTCGAAAAAAAATAATAAAATGAGTATATTTTATTATCTTCATTAGTATTATTGTTGTATTAGTGCGAGCAAGTATACCGTAAATAGGTCTCAAAAGCAAACAAAAATAAAAGTAACATTAAACCCAAAGAAATAAAACAAAAGTAAGATAATGACTCTAAACATTGAAATCTATTTTTTAATCTAAAAAATAGTATCATAGAACCTACCTCAATACAAACAGTATTAAAATACAACATTCAACCAACCAAAGATCATAAAAAATTAATATCAAACCGAACCCAAATACATTTTATATTATATGGACAAACCCAAAATCTACCTTTTTTGAAATTTTAAGCCAAATGTCTCAATTTCTAGAACAATATCTCACTTTGTGAACCGATTCTAATGTCCCACTTTCAAACCTTAAACCTAAACTATCACTAATCTAAACCCTAAATCAATTAGCCTAATCTCAATTTTCAAATACAAAACCCTTAATCTAATCACACTTTCTAAATCGATTACCCTACACCTGTAATTTTAAACTCTAAATACCATACCTTAATCTTATAGTTTGGAACGATTACAAAGATTCAATTTCAAAACCTAATCCCTTTTTATTTTTCTCAAGTAATTTTTTGGTTTTTAAAACAACAATTTTTTTTTCTTTTTCAACGAAAAGTAACTTCTCAAAATTGTTGTTTTATGTCGGGTAAAAAAATAAAGGGTTAATTTTTTTTATTTGAAATTAATATTTGACGTAAAAATTCAATTACATGACATGAGGTTTTAATGACAACCGACAATTTTTAATTCGTTATTTAAGACATGTCAACTTTTTTTCCAATAGAGTTAAGCTTTAGTGTAAAATAATTTACTAAATTAAAATTTAGATACTAATATAATAGTTTTAGTTTTTTTAATTACTAATATGATAAAAAGTATAAACTTTAGAGATTAATTTTATATTCAAATAATGAGATGAGATCATATCTCGAGTGCTTAAGGTGAGGATTGGGTGAGTGCCTCTTGCATTTTCCCACTTCTAATAGATCATCGCCATGGGCCCAAGCATAAGCATCTATTCTATATGGCTAGATCCAGATCTCCAATTGACTTAGCCCATGACTTAAAACACAGAACAGAAGCCCGTATCCATGACATGAACTTTGAAGTAGCCTTACATGAAAAGTGTGTTACTCTAGCCTCTTCTCTCAGAAGAGAGACGCTCCCCACCCCAGATCTCAAAAAGGAAAATTTTGAAAAGCGTTCCACGTGGCAAACTCTACTAATTCGACCGTTGTCAGTGGGGTTCCTCTGTATGTCCCTCCATAACCCCTCTTTTCTTTTTGCCTTCTTTCGTGTTCTCCATCAAATAATAACACTTATCAGCCTATTCCTACCCCAAAAACCTTTGGTCTCTTTTTTTTTTCTACTCTCTCAAAAAATGGCGATTGCTGAGACCCACCCCCAACAACAAGAGAAGGTAAAATTTTTTTCCATTTTGTTTTCACTGTTTTTCTTGGGAAAACAGTAGCATTTTTTTTTCTTTTTCATCCTTCAAGAACCAAACAAAGCCCAGTTTTCAGTTTATTTTTCTTTTATAGAGGGCAGAAAGTTTTTAGAAGGGTTTTCTCCATATACAAAGTTTCAATTCCCAAATAGGGTTGATTTCTAGGGTTCTAATGGCAGATTTGGGAATTTTGACAATTTTGTGTCTGGTTGCGTACTCTTTGATATCTAGGATTAGCGGATTTTGAAAAATTGGAACATTAATAATTTGGGTATTTTGTGTTGAGACAGTGTCGGGGATTTTGTTTTACGTATTTTGATTTTGTTGATATCCATTTTGACAGGTTTCTTCAGATGCTTCAGCAGCTGAGAAGAAAAGATGGACGCTTAGCGATTTTGACATTGGGAAGCCGCTTGGACGAGGAAAGTTTGGTCACGTTTATTTGGCTAGAGAGAAAAGGGTCCGTTTCTTTCATTCTTGTTTTATTGTTCATTTTGTTCGCTAAGAACTATGAGGAAAATTGAAGAAAATGAGATATTCTTATAACATCATTATCTGCAATTATAGTACTAGGCTGATCCTTATGATGTACTTTTGAAACAGAGCAATCATATCGTGGCACTCAAAGTGCTTTTTAAAAGCCAACTACAACAGTCTCAAGTTGAACATCAGCTACGCCGTGAAGTGGAAATACAAAGTCACTTGCGCCATCCCCATATATTGAGGCTTTATGGTTATTTCTATGATCAGGTATAGGCCTATATTTTATGCTTTGATTTATGTAGCTAATTGAAAATGTGCTGAATGAGTTAACATGTGTTTTTCTGAATACAACTTCTACAGAAACGTGTTTATCTGATTCTGGAGTATGCAGCCAAGGGTGAACTCTACAAGGAACTGCAAAAATCTAAATACTTCAGCGAAAGACGTGCAGCTACTGTGAGTTTTAATTTTCCCAATTGATTCTTGTGATAGTTTGTAGCAGGATTAAAGAATTTATATAACATGTAGCAATACAAAAGAAAAAAGAACTAATTGGATGTTTGGTTTGTATGCTTATGTTGTTTGTTGCAGTATGTTGCATCTTTAGCTCGGGCACTAATTTATTGTCATGGAAAGCACGTAATACATAGAGACATCAAACCTGAGAACCTGTTAATTGGTGCACTGGTAATTCCTAATCTATGGCTGTACTTGTTATTTGGTTTATTCTACGAACGTTTTATAGTGCTTATCTTGTCAATTGGGATTCCTTGTCAGGGTGAACTTAAGATTGCAGATTTTGGGTGGTCAGTGCACACATTTAATCGCAGGCGGACTATGTGTGGTACACTTGATTATCTCCCTCCTGAAATGGGTATGTAGTAAACCATTAGAACCAGGGGATTGCCTGTAGTGCTCATCAGTTGTTATTTTCTTACTGTTTTAGCTTGTTCTAGATTCAAACTATATCCATTTGTGCCAAAAGATGTAACTTTATATGTGTCGGAAACAGTGTATATCTATATAACAAGTAAGTTTCACCTTATTTTTTATGTTCTCTGCAGTTGAAAGTGTAGAGCATGATGCTAGTGTAGATATCTGGAGCCTTGGTGTCTTGTGCTATGAGTTTCTTTACGGGGTCCCTCCTTTTGAGGCCAAGGAACACTCTGACACTTATAGAAGGTAACTATTAGCACATTACCAAGAAAACATGATCAAAACTTTTGATACTATACAATTTTGAGTTATGACACTGCATTTTAGCAAGGTTCAAGTTCTGTTTTCAAATGATGCGCCATACTGCTGTTTGTTTGTCTTTTTAATGCCTGGTATCATAAGTTTTCCACTTTACCCCTTTCACAGGATTGTGCAAGTGGATCTGAAGTTCCCTCCTAAACCAATAGTTTCATCTGCAGCTAAGGACCTCATTAGTCAGGTATGTTTTGTTGCTTTTATAACTTTCAATATACATATAACAACAACATTCTATCACGCCATATCCTGAACATTATTTAACTTTACTTAACAGATGCTTGTCAAGGATTCTTCCCAGCGCCTACCGCTCCATAAGCTTCTTGAGCATCCATGGATTGTTCAGAATGCTGATCCATCTGGCATCTATAGAACTTAAGATACATCTGTTCCTTGATATTCTTTTTGTGAGGATGATTGTGCAAAGATGGTTTCCATGGATTGTTCAGAATGCTGATCCATCTGGCATCTATAGAACTTAAGATACATCTGTTCCTTGATATTCTTTTTGTGAGGATGATTGTGCAAAGATGGTTTCAAATTGAAAGTCCTGGTTCTTGACTCTGAATCCTTACTTTGCTATGTCTTCAAGCTTTGTAGGAATAACAACAATTTGTTCGTTAAAATCCATTGTAATTCATTTGTATGTTAAATTACTATGATTTGTTGTCTTGGCATGTGTAACATCCGCAACTGCATTTATTTGAAAAGATAATGCAAAGGATTTGCCCATCTTTTCAGGTTTGGCTATGAAGGTTAAGATCTGTCTTTGGTTGGTTAACTCACTCTGGGTTCTATTTTGGTTTGACTTGGTCTCCAAGATGGCATATGATTCTGGATCCCAAGGTTCACAATAAAGAATATGGCGATTAGGTGTTTGTTTAGGTAGTAGAAACCAGAAACCATCTTGTTGCTCCTCAGTAGTCTTGCGTTTGGAAAACGAGCGCGGACGTACAGCTGACAGGGATATCAGCAGTACAGCTGACAGGGATATCAGCAGTTTTCCTGTTTCTTGTGTTTCTTTTGGTCCCAATTACCGGATTCAGAAATACCAGAAATAGGTTGAATACATTTTCATAACACTTGGATCAATGATACCCGTTGTTATTTTCTCTCACAACCAGTGTTGGATCTACGTTTTATTTTATTTTTTTTTTTTTTTTTTTAAATCTACACTTATAAAATGTAAGTACAGCTGATACATATATCCATTTTGTTGACCTAACAAAAAAATTTTGAAGATGTTCCAAAAAAATTTTTCCTCCAAAATTTTTTTTATTTTTGGATTTTTTAGTGTCCATAAACATTGATACTTCAAAGGGTGGATCCACCTCTGCTCATAGCATAGAAAACATACAAAGGAAGACGAGAGACAATGCAACCTGATCAGTACTTTCGACTTCCATGGCAATATGGATTAGTTGATCATACATTTCCAACTGAAAGACCCTTGTGAGCAACTAATAGTTTCTCAATGTTAAAGCACCACCACCAAAATTTCTAACTATAAGCAATTCATAAAACAGCAGAGTAAGTACTCGATTTCAACAGCTGAAACCCACATTCATGCTAACCGAATGATTAGAGATGGTAGAGTGCTAAATATGAATGGTGGTACATAGACTGTCTATGAAAGATGGTAGTGAACATGACACTATCTGATGCAGCTTTCATACCATACAAGGACTGTCGTCAGTCATTGACTTTCTGCCATTACAATTTTCGCCATCCTACAAGCCTGTTGCAGGTTTTTTCTCTTTCTTGGCTTCAGCAATATCTCTGGGGTTCAAGAAGCTTGGCTGGTTAGTTGAAGAGAGCAGCCTCGCCCACATCCTGTCAGTAATGACAACCTTGTTTTGTTTCTCAATGATACGCTGCATATTAAAATTCCAACAGAAAAATATCAACTGTAAGCCTTTCTGCAAAACCATGAGAAAAATATATTTTGCTGAAAGAAATTCAGTCAGGAGAAGTAATGCAGGGGCTAGAAACATACTGGAAGACGAAATACAGCTTTTTCTCTAATAATCACAGTTTTTGGGCTAAATTCAAACAACAAAAACCACATGACTAAACCTATTTATATATATATATATATATATATATATATATGCTATTTCAATACAACCTACCACAGTTGTTTCTTTCCCTTTCTTTTACTTAACTTTTGTTTGCTGGTTCCTGTCTCAAATATTGCCAGAATAACAAACATAAAGTGGAGTGACCACTGATTCATGATTTCTAATAGACATTTGGACAACAATCTATAACATTAAACAATGTTCACTAACAGAGAAGTTATTAAGGTGCAGACCAACATACCTTATATGGAATGTAAGCATGTCTGCCATTGACAGGACCAACAGTGAAGCCCGAATACCCTGCCATTGCTCCATGAACTGCACTATGAGCAAGTAGGGTGCAGTAGACATTATCAGAAGCAATGCTAGGAATAGCCCGGATCATGTATGTAGGATCTGCAAATCAAATATTTTGCACATTATTAAAAGGTTGAAGTCTGTAGGAATAAAGTAAAAATAAAGTGATGAGACATTAACCTATATATTTAAGATTAATAGGAATCTTCTTCTTTGCAAAATGTTCCTGCATAAAGTGACAAGAGACAGTCAAGATATTAGTCTAGATATCACACAAACATCCAATCATTAGCCACGTATCAAACAAAAGCAGAGATTAGTCAATTGAAGGTAGTACCTTTATCCTGTGAGAGATCCACAGCCCAACATCTTGAAGAAGCTTGTTTCCTGAAGCATCTTGCTGGTCCATGCACTGCAAGCTCTCTGAAAGAAGATCCTGTCCTGCACCTTCAGCTACCACAATAACCATATGTCCATTTTCTTTGAGTCGTTTTTCAATATATTCATAAAGTCCACCACTTCCTTCAAGATAGAATGGTGACTCTGGAATCAAGCAACAATCAACATCACGGCTGGCAAGAGTAGCATACATTGCAATGAAACCTGCATCAGCAGTTCAATATGATACATAAGGGAAGGATCAAAAACATCAATTCAACAAAATGGAACTAGGGACAGCTGGCAGTATTGACTATATAATTGTCTGGATTCCCATGTATTATGATTATACCAACTAAGCATACCACTATAGCGTCCCATTAGCTTTACAAGTCCAATGCCATTCTCAATACTTTCAGCCTCAACATGTGCCGCATTAATGGCACGTTGAGACTCTTCAACCGCAGTATCAAAACCAAATGATTTGTCAATAACCTGTACCAAAACCAGCAACCCCACACAATGCATATCACACATTAATATGACTTTCAAGTGGTGACAAGGAAAAAGTTTGTAGATAACTACAAATATGAAGATGATAAGTACCGGAATGTCATTGTCAATGGTCTTGGGAATTCCAGCAACTGCTACTTTGAGGCCACGTTGTCTAATTTCCTGCCCAGAGCAAAATCAGTTAAGCTAAAAATAAGTACAATGATTAGTTGCACTGTTTAGTATTCAGATAAATGCTAAGAACGGTATTAAAAGATTTCTGACAATACATTATGGATGCATCTTTGACTAAAGCCTTGCTTAAATTGATTGACCTCTATGAAACATTTTTCTTATTTGACATTTATGGAGAATACCAAATGCTAATACCTCAAAAATCACAGCTGCTCCTCGATGTGTCCCATCACCTCCGATTATATAAACCTGAACCAATAAAGGAGAAATTAGAACTGACAGAAAGTAGTTATGTGAAATATTAGATGTATATAGTCAAATAAAACTGAGAGGAGGCTCACACAAAAACCTCTACCCTTGCACCTTAACACACCTGATTGATTCCATGATCCTGAATGCTGTCAACAATCTTTGAGGTATCATGACCCCCTCTTGATGTCCCAAGGATTGTACCACCACGTTTATGGATATCATTTACAACATTAGGTGTTAAGGTGACAGTGTTCTTGGCATAAAAACCCCTGTAGCCTCCCTAAAGATGTATCAAGAATAAGTTGCTGGCGAGATTACCAAATGATGACATTCCGCATACTGATTATAAACCAAGTTGTTATGCATTAAAATGCCTAATCATTGTAACAAAATTACTTACATCTATTCCAAGAATTTTTCTGACACCATACATGTGACATAGGCCACAAACAATTTCCCTGATCACTGTGTTGAGCCCGGGGCATAGACCACCACATGTTACAATGCATGCGTGCACTTCATCTGATTCAAAATACACCTGAGAAGCATAACATGTGCCAGTCAGCAAACTGTCAATAGCTAATCATTTTGCAACTTCAACCCTAAAGCATAGGGGCAATATGAGAATTGTACCCTTTGGCGAGGTCCTGCACGTCGAAAATGCACCCCTCTTGGACTGTCCTTATGAACAACAATCTACAATAAAACTAGCATATTATTTAACCATACCGATTAAGACATATAGGTAAGAACTAATAACTGTAGTAATTGCAACATATGAAACAAACAATTTTTCGTTCTACAGGTTTTAAAGCATTCTCTCGTGACAATATTCAGACTTCAGCTTCAAGGAAGTGCATGCTTTAAAAAAAACAGAGTATGAAATTGAAACAAAAAATTCTGTTTATATTATAGAAGGAAAGATCACCACATTGAACTTCAAATGAATATACAAAATTCAAGCAATAAAACAAGGATTCACCTTCTGAGTGACGGTATCATCCACATTAACAAAATATTGCCTGCGAATCAAAATGTCACGCAAATAAATCACCATATTCAAACAAGACCGAGATAGAGAAACCACAATCTAAAACCGATGAATTACCCGATGAAAATTTCAGGTTATAGTTTACTTACTTGACAACTGAATAAGCTGGATTATCTTGTAATGGATTGGGATAGCTCTGCCACATAAATAAACACCCATAAAACAAAATGCAAAATATGGAAAAAAAAAAAAAAAAAAAGAGAGAGTGAATACGAAGGTATAAAAGGAAGGAAATCAGAAACTTGAAAAAAAATTCAGAATCTTTAGCTAGTGTTTGGTTTTAAAAAGCAAATGCATTTTTCATTTTAATTTTCTTAGAAAATGAAAAACAGTAGCCAAAACATGTTTGATACTTAAAAATGAAAACAATTTTTGGACAATAAAAATAAAAATAGGTTAAAAAAAACAAAAAAAAAATTGTTTTTAATTATGAAAGCAAAAAATGTTCATTACTTTTTCTTTTTGCAAGTCAAGATGTTGATCCATATTTAAATATTTTTGAAAGTTATCAATTAATAAATATATATTATATTCATAATTAGATATAATTAATAATTTTTTATTTTTTATTTTGTATTTTTAAAAATCAAAATTTGTTTTCGTTCACAATATATTTTTTAGAAAAATAAAAAATAAAAAAAAAACTCGAACCAAAACAGAGAGCCTAAGTTCTCAAAACCAGAAAGAGCAATGAAATATAAAATTACTGTCACTAAACAAAAATCTCAGTAATGTTCATCTCATCGTTCTTGATCTAACGAAATTGGATCAGTTCCAAATACAAAAATGAATAAAAAATAAATAAAAAGAAAAGAAGCGAAGAGAGAGTACAGGGAGATCAGGGAGGTAATCAGTCAAGTGAGGAACATCTTCGAGAACGTAACCGGCAGTGCCGGGAACTAACTTCATCTGTGTATCATTTTCCATCGCTTGCTCTCTCTAGGAAAACGGGAATGTTCGACGTTCTATATTCGGTGAATAGCAAGAGGAAAAAAAAAAAAACTATATGGGAAATGTTGTTTCTCTTTTTCAGAAGAAACAGGTGCAGATTTGGCGCGGGTGCCGATGCCAATGTATAGGAAGGTTGTCTTTGGAGAGAATTTTGGATTAATGAAACCCGAGAGGACTTAAGATCGACCACGTCAAAGTTGAAGCGGCGTCGTTTGAACTTTGATCCCTGGTTCTGTTGAGCAAAAACAGGTGGCGCCGCAAACATTGTATTTCCCGCAAACTATTACCCTTCCACGGTTTTTTTTTTTTTTTAAATATTCATGTCCAGTATACATGAATTATTTGATATAAAGATATTAAATTTTTTAATTTTATAAGTGAGGTTAAAATAATGATATATATTTTTAATTTTTTAAATAAATATTAAAAAATATATGTCATCATTTTAATTTTATTTATAAAATTAAAAAGTTTTATTATGAGTATATTTAATATTTTTTATATTAATATACCATAAATTGTTTTATAAAGAAATCATAAATTGCTACATCATCAAGTAAAAAAATTAAAATCCAAAAAAATAAATATTCTTGAATTTTAATTATTTAATTATTTAAAATAAATTAATGAAATAGTATCATGTAATGTTAATGCATTTATAATATATAATATTTATTTATTAATAGTGTATTAAATATAATTTTTTTATTTTTTAAATATATCTTAAAAATATATATATAATCTTGTTAATTTCACTTGTAAAATTTAAAAATTTTATTAATAATAAATAAAATAATTTCTTTTTCTCCATAGGTCGGACTTAAGCTTATAAATTAGATCCTATATTTTTTACTGATTTCGATGGTATTGCGTACTTTTTTTTTTTTTGAAGGAAAGATAGTACTAATTCAATAATGATAGTTAGATGCAATCGACGGTGAATGATGGAGGAACAGACCCCTACCCATCTCTCCTCTGAAACCACGTTAAGTGCATGCTTAGCCAAATAATCAGTCACACTATTTGCTTCTCTCTTTACGTGCCCGATTGTGAAGGACTTGAATCTTCTTCCTGCACTTCTCACATCAGAAGGATTTTCCCAGTATAAGACAAGTCTTTCGCTCCCGCCTTGCATCCGTTAATCACTCGACGAGCATCCCATTCAAGGCAGACATTTTCCATTCCCAACGTCTCGCAAATTCCACTGCCTTATCTGCTGCTAGAGCTTAAAAAATGATAGGATCATAAACTCGGTCCACCTTGTTAGCAGTGGCCCCTAATACCACCCCCTTATCATCCCTAGCTACAACTCCAATACCACCTGTGTTTGTTTCTTTTTTTAGCGCGCCATCAAAGTTGAGCTTGGCCTGACCCAATGGAGATGGCTTCCACTTTATAGTTGGTACGGTTATCATCAACCCTGCTTTTTGGTTTGCTAGTCTATACTTCTGTAAATACCTCCTGGCAAAATGTACCACTGGAGCTGGTGTTCCGTGGCACTCATCTTTAACTACTTAGTTCCTGTGCTCCCATAATGCCCAACATAATACCAAACCTCGTTCGAGATTGTCTGTGTCTAGTTGTGCAACTGCATCTGTCAACCAATCCTTCTCAGATGTGTGATCCATCCATCTGGTGCCACGTCATGTGAGGACCAAACATCCTTAATGCTTTCACAATCCCACAAAGCGTGAACGATGGTCTCTTCGTGCTGTCCACACCTTGGACAAACCCCATTGATATCGATTCCTCTTTTCCTCAACTGGGCATACACAGGCAGAAAGCCCTTATTTGATCTCCATCAAAACACCTTGATTTTGTTTGGGATTTTAATCCAAAAGCTCCTATCTCGGTTCATTTGAGCCATATCCCTGCATCCCCGCTTGTTCTCCTTTGCTCATTGACTAACCAGTGATATGTACTCCTCACTGAGAAAATGCCATTTGATTCAAGGCTCCAGTAAATAGTGTCCGCATGGCTTTGATGGCTAAGCGGCAACCCCATAATTTCATCTTGTATCTCCTCTGTGAACAGGGTCATTAATTTCTTTGTATCCCATTCCCGTGGTTGAGTTCGCATGAGCTCTGCCATCTTTGCATATTCATTGATGTCAACTTGTGTGTTCTCTCGAAGTGGAGCATTCTATTGTGCGGTAGCCAGTAGTCCTTCCATACCCGTATGCTGTCCCCGTTTCCCACCCTTCAGCATCATCCTGCACGAAGCACTTCTTGTTCCGACCACAGGCTTCTCCAAGTCAACGATAGGTTTCGGCACAATGGGACTTCCATGGGATTTCCGTTCAAGAAATATTTTCTACTCAGTACTCTATATACAAGAGAGTTTGTGTTCTTTAATAGCCTCCAACATTGTTAAGCTAGGAGGGCCTTATTAAACATATTGAAGTTCCTGAAGCCTAGTCCCCCTGCCCTCTTACTCACGCACATTCCTTCCTATTTTAGCCAATGTAAGCCCTTACTGTCCTACTTTGAATTCCATCAAAAATTACTTATCATTCTGTTTGAATCCTGGCATACAACCTTTGGCAGAAAAAAGACACTTACGGCATATGCGGGTATCATTTGGAAGACTGCTTTAATGAATATTTCCTTACCTCCCAATGATAAGATACGGCTACTCCATTGTCCAATTTTTCCACAAACTCAATTATGTTCCTAAACTCTTTTCTTTTATTTCTGCCCATCATAGTAGGCAGACCAAGGTATTTATCCGGGTCTAAAGTTTCTTGGACCTCGAGCATCTGTATTACTCCATCTTTGCATTCCTCCCGAATATTTTTGCTGAGGAAAAAGAGCGACTTCTCCAGATTCACCTGTTGACCCGAACCATGTTCATATCTCTATAGCAAGTGGCTCACTGTTCCACATTCAATCTGGTTTGCTTTTAAGAATAGCAGACTGTCATATGCAAAAAAGAAGTGAGTGATCTAGATCCATTCCTGCTTGCACTTATCCCACTTACCAGTCCCTCTCTCTGGAACTTTGTAAGAAGAGCTGAGAAGCCCTCAGTACACAACAAGAACAGGTGACAATGGGTCTCCTTGTCGTAACCCTCGTTCAGGATAAAATCTGTCTGTTACATCACCATTAAGCACCATGGAGTAAGAAACAAAAGAAATACATTTCATTAAGATGGACACCCACTTATAGTGGAACCCCAATTTAATCATCATTGCCTCCAGGAACGGTCATTCAATCCAATCGTAAGCCTTGCTCATATCTAATTTTAGTGCTACGTATCCATCCTTTCTACTCTGCCATCTCTTAAGAGTATGAATCATGTCATAAGCAATCAAGACATTATCAGTTATCAGCCTACCAGGCACAAAGACGCTCTGGTTTTCACGAGCATAGTAAGGTAACACGAGTTTGAAGTGGTTCACTAGGACTTTAGCTATGAGCTTATACACCACGTTGCAAAGGCTTATGGGCCCAAAATTGGTTATTTTCCTAGGTTGCCTAATTTTCGGGATAAAGACTATATTAGTATCATTTACATCCTCAAGAAACGAGCTGCCATTTAAAACAGATAAACAGAAAATTTTAACATTATCCCCAACTACATTCTAGTATTTTTAAAAGAAAAGTGAAGGCATACAGTCGGATCTCGGCGCTTTAGTGGGATGTACGCAAGCAAATGCCTCGTGAATTTCCTCTTTCTTAAATTTTGTCAAAAGCTGGTTATTCATTTCGAGTGTAACCTTAGTCTCCACCCCCTCCAATATCTCGTCAAAAGAACCTGGTCTTGAAGTGGAGAATAAATTGGAAGTATTGGACTGTACCCTAACCCTGTTGATTGCATTAAAATTTTAATTTTTTATGCTTATTTTTAGTATAATTTAATTCATATTTTAGCTTATTCTTTAAGATTTTTGACAAAATAGCTCATAAATACGTACTTTTCTTATGTGTAGGTAAAAATAGAGAAGATGAGAAATTTTGATTAATTTAAAAACATTTTTGAGAATTTTTTATATAAATTATAAAAACAACCTTAAACTAGTGTCATTAAATTAAATTGCTTTTGAGGGAGTTTTATTGAACCTTTCTTTCATGAATTTTTTTAGCATTATTTCTAACATTTTTTTAATGATTTTATTGTTAAATTTGCTCATGAAATTCTTGAATTTTTAGTAGTAAAAAAATGAAAACATACATGCATGCAAGAGGCTTAACAAGTAAATGATGGTGCATTAGTGGCCTAGAATGCAATCTTTATTTGCATGAGAATTGGGCATCACATTTTGGCATTTAAAGGAAAAACTTCAAGAGGTAATGACATGGCACATTAGAGAGCTTTCATTGATCATAACTTGAACTTTTTGAAAGTGGCAAAACGCATGAAGAAGGCTTGCAATTAAGGAAGAGCAAAGAAGCCTACAGACAACCATGCACCAAGTGCAGAAGCAAGGAGGAAAGAATTCTTTAGAAGCTCACCTCATTGTAGATATTTTAGAGATTTTTTTTTTGGCTCCATTCATCATTTATCTACCTATAAATAAGAGTAAAGCTAGTCATTTTAGAGAGATTTTTTAGCTTAGGATTTTATTTTTTTCTTTTTGTACTTTTCTTTATTACATTTTATTTTCTTAGGGACCAAATACCCCTTGATCTTCATATTTTTCTATTAATTTTGATTGCACTTTTACATTTTCTCAAGTATTTTTAGTGTTCTTTACGATTTTAACAATGAGATTTGCAAATTTTATTGATTTCTAGCTTAAATCTACTAATTTTTTATTTATCTCAAATCTATTTTTGAATCTGCTAGTTTTGATCTACTTGTAATTTTTTTATGATATCTCATTCAAACCTTACTTTTTTTTATTTAATTTTTTTCGTTGTTTTCTAATTCAATTAGCTACAACATATTAAAAATTTAACCTCAAACTCGCACCATAACATTCCAAATCAAGCCTAGAAGATTCATACGAATGCAGATCAGATGTGATCAATTAAGTTTAGCATGAAATTGCTCTCTCCTTGACAAATTGTTTGCCTTCTTTTTACTATAAATCCTTAGTTTTACTTTTTAATTCAATTTATTTCTTTACATTTCATTACTCTTTATTTAATTTTCTTATATGATGTTCTATTTTTCCAGAATTGTGTGTTGTTTAAATTTTTAGTTCAATAAGCTAGAATTTCTTGTTTTTGATGTAATTTCTTTATTGAATCATACAGTAAACTTGTTAATTTAGCTTACATTAGCTCAGTTTTAATTGATTCTCTCTAAAAAATTTTAGGTCTAAATTTTTTTTTTCATTTGAATCGGTAAATACTACTATAAACTTAGTTTCAATTCTGACTTTTTCTTATTAATTCTTGCACTTTCTTTTCAATATTGTTCTTCAAATTAGTTTCTCACATTGTTCTTTTAATGTTTTCTTAATTTTCAGTTCAAATTCCATTGGATTTATGCAATTTAAGTCCAGATTTTTAGTTTAAAGTTTGGTTTTCATATTTACAACTACTTTCAATTTTTCAACCTTTAACTTGCATTTTATAATTTTCTTCTATTACTTGCATTTAATTTTTATTGTTATTTCAAAGCATTAATTGTTTTTCTCTTTTATTTCAAGTTTGATTTCATGAAAATTGTTAACATTTAGAATTATATTTCATTCTTGAAGTCATAATTTTTTTATTGTAACCTCATATTTTCGATTTTACAAAATTTGTAAGTTTAATTACATTTTTCATTTTCATCACTTTATTTTTACTTCAAATTTGATTTTAATTTGATGTAGTTACTGTATTTTTATTTTTATTTTTTATTTTTAAGGAAACAGAGTACAAAGGGAAGAGGGGAGGCTAGGGTCGAACTCCAATATCTTCTTAACGCTTTCTTGGCCTATAGGCCAAGAAGCTGAAAACTACTGTATTTCACATTTTATAGCTCTGTCCACTCCCTTCCCACATTTTAAATTCCAACGCTTGGATGTAATTATTTCTTCTTCCGCTGGAAGCTTTTGCATGAAAGAAAGATGTGTTTTTGTCGGCCATGCGCAGCCAGTCACCTTGGATCTTTGAGCCCAGTACATCTCATCTTTTTCTATAGCCTTATTCAACTCTGCCCCATTCATATCCATCCTCTTTAGTACACAATAGGTGAGGTCCATGGTGTCTAGCCTCTCATATTCACGTTCCAAGCCGTCCATCCATTGTTTTGAATTGCCACATGTTGACAGACCCACTTCCTCAATGCTTTGCTCACATGTTGGATTCTCATCACAAGTCCCGCATGATTCTATTCATGCCATGCATTGCCAACCACGTCCCCTGTCTCCCTTTCCTTAGCCCATACGGTTTCAAAATAAACTTTTGGCCTTTTCTTTCTGCATCTTTGCAAGCTTTTACACCCGTTTGTGTCCACACAAATTTGATTGTGATCTGAGATAACCGAGACCATATTGGTCACCGCGTATCTGGGAAATAACTCCAATCATTTTGAGTTTCCAACTGCCCTATCGAGCCTCTCTCTGGTCAGTGAATCAGCATCTGTCCCTCGTTCCCATGTATACCAAATCCTCTAATCCTGCTCCTTCTAAAGCCTACCAAAATGTCTCCATCCGCATTTTCGATCTCGTATTGCCTCCCTTCTTTTCATGTCTCCACAAAATCTCGTTAAAATCCCCCAAGCAAAGCCAAGGTCTATCCGACTGGTTAGCGGTGCTTTCTAACATCCTCTATGAATCGTGTCTTTCATTTGTCCTTTGTTCTCCATAAAAACCAGTCACTCTCTAATCACCTCCTCCCTATTCTGAAACTTTCATATCAATGTGATATTTGAAGAAACTTATCAGCTTAAGATCAACCCTGTCCTTCCACATCATTCCTAAACCTCCACTATGACCAGTAGCATCCATTCCAAAAACAGCTTTCATGCTTCGTCTGATTCTATCTGACTTCTGTGTCTTTACTAGAGCTTCGCTAAGAAAGTAACTTTGGGATCTTCTTTCTTCACGAAAGTGTGAAGAGCTCGAACTATCCGTGGGTTCCCAAGCCCACGGCAGTTCCAAGCCAAGAGTTTCATTGATCTTGGTGGGGCTGGACACCAACCTCCATCATTTGATATTCATTTTAGTAGCTCTCGACCTCCATCAACCTATATTTCTTCCTTTGTGAATCCACCTCCATCAGATCATCAACTTTCGCTTCGCCATGTCCCCTCTTCACACCTATTTTAAAGCCAAAGTTTGGTCCTTCCCGCGTTGATCGTTGGCCAACTTTTTGCGTTTTGTCTTCGAGCCATGAATTCTAATATCTTCGATACCAGCCTCTATTGCCTTCATCCCTCCTTCATTTTGCGTTGTTTCAGACTAGTTTCCTTCATGAGAGTTTAATATTCCTCTTCCCTGGTCAACAGTCCCCAGTCCCCACTTCTTTAGTTTTCATTTGTATCTCATCCAACTGTAATGTGCCTTTGTCAATACTACCCTTAGATTCCACATGTATGGGCCTATGTATCCCTGTGTCTTTTGACTGTAGGCTGTTGGACGTTTGCAGCTCATTTTGGCCCTCTTCGAGATTTTGGTTCACGTTTGAGCCTTCACCCGTAAAAGCCACTTGATTTTGCTTTGCATGGCTTCCGTGTCTAATATCCCTAATATCCCATTCTCAGATTCATATTCAAACAAAGAAAACAGTCCCATAATATCCTCTTGATTTTCAACGACCCCATCCGTTACGGAGCTTACCAATTTTGCACCACCATCCCCACCAAACGAAAACTTTCCCTACTTATTTTCCATCTCTATTCTGGTTTGGCTCGTCGCCGAAAAAGATGTGCCTCTTCCACTGTTCAACCTTCTCTTTAATGGTGATATGTGTAACCAGTCGCCATACTGCATATTTGTTTTACCATCCTTGTCCGTTTTGTACTCTTTCTCACATTCTGTGTTAAGGTGGCCAATTATGCCACAGTTGTAGCAGAAGTTGGGTAGCCGTTCATACCCCATTCTACCAATAATGTCTTGTCCTTCTTTCCCCTTAACTATTATTGCCCTCCGTAATGGCTTCTGGATATCTATGAAGACTCGAAATCTCACAAATCTAGACCAGCCCCTTCCCTCTAAACTTTCATCTACTTCATGAAGTTTACCTATTTTTCCACCCAGACAAACTACCATTTCTTGGTTTTGCATGCCTAGAGGAAGACCATAGATTCGTGCCTAAAAAGTTGCTGTGTGGAACTTGTACTTGCCTGGGCGTAAGTTCACATTATACTCCTCCATCAATAAAAGATTTTTATCTAACGACCAAGGGGCCCTGCCCAACACCTTTTTTTTTATCAGCTTCGAAGGCAAACTTGAAGAGAAAGATGTTATCCTCCAGGGCCATGATCTCAACCTCCTTCGTAGTCTTCCATATGACTTTCAGTGTGCTCATCATGGCTTCTTTGTTCAATGTTCTTGTTGTTAGTACCTTTCCGATCATCCATCTTTTTCCTTCCTCCCTTGCACCGTCCAAGGTCCTCTCCTCTGGCTGAACAAAATCTAATTCTTCTTCTATAAAGGAAAGATGCTTCCATAGATTGTCCAAGTCATCCGCTATTCAACAATTCTTCTCTTTGTTACTACTCTGGAGAAAGACCCAACACAACTTCTACGACCCCAAAACGAAAAGACTGCCCTAACTACAAACTGCCCAGAAGATTTTGTGGAGAAACAAAACCCTGGGAAGAACTACTAGAATACACCTAAGACTTCAACTTCTCCCATGCCGTGGAGACTTTTTTTTTATTAATTTATTAATTTTTATTAATTTCTAATATACTTTTAATTTTAAATCTGGACATTATGAGTTTAAATTTCTTTGAATTTGTAATCTTTTAAAATTGTTATTAATTTACATATCATTTGAGTTAATAATCAATTGCATTAGTTTATTTATTTTTAATTGACCATTCCTACAATGTCATATTACAATTATGTTAAATTTAAATTTTATTTACAGAAAAAGTTAGTTGATGTCTAATGACGTTGATTAAAGTGATTTAATAAGAAGAATATATATTGAATATATGTTTTTTGAATTTAGTGAAAATAAAACATAAGATGCAAAATTTTTAAATAGTTTTTTAACTATCTTTACACAGTATTTACAATCATCCTTTAATCAAATTTAGACTTAATACTTTTAAATATGATATAATAAATAAAACGAAAATAATACTAAAAATGATATGAAAGTAATATAGTATAAAATTTTGGCAGAATTATATATGCATTTGATAAAAATTAAAAAATATATTTTCTACGTGTTCATATAAATTTGATATGAAATTTTTTATATTTTATATGTATTTAATACGAAACAGATATAATATAAAAACATGAATTATTGATTTAATTGGATATTTATTTATTTATTTCTTGCATATACTAATGATGTTGCCATATATGATTTGCTAAAAGGATTAGCATTTATTATTTAATAATTGAATTAGTATGCGACACATTGCAAATATAAAATTTTAATTTTATAAATATAATTAATATAATAATACATACGTCAAAGTATATTATATATGTGTATTGTAATTACTAAAAATTAAATTGTTACTAACATTAAAATGCGCATTACTGAATAATTTCATCCAATTTAACAGTTCATCAACAGACACAATAGTATACGCTTCATGAACGACTCTGATGACAAGTTGAAAATAGAAAGCTATCCTTATACCACATGTTAGAAGCAGATGTACGTGGCGCCGACGAGACGTCTCACGACCGATTAAAAGAAGTTAGGACTCGGCAGCCTGGCAATCAAATCACGCCTCTCCCTCCCGTTGCTTTAATCGTCTTCCACCATTAGTCTATCCTCCTTCATCAAAGCTATGAAAAATAAAAGAAAAGAAAGGAAAAAAACCCTCTCTTTTGTTCCTGGAAGCTACAGAGCTGAGAATGGGAATTCCATGAGAAATGAGGGATGTTTGGGTACAGAGAAGAAGAAATTCTTTCCTAATCCCTTCTCCTGCTGAAAACGAGAAAAAATTGAGGGCTGAGCGATTCTTTCAAGGTTTTTTATTTTTTTTAATCTTTCAGTTCCCTAATTTTGCAGCTGGAAAAAAATGGGGGATTTCAGATATATCAAATTTGAAAAATTTTGATAATTTTAAGCTAATTTTCTTTCAGTGATCAAGCTGACATCCCATAAAATTTTGTTGTATTTTTTTTCCTAGTTGTCAAAGTTTCCTTCTACTAGACAGAGTTTTCTGTGTTATTGTATGATTTAATTTTTCGTCAAACGCAATTATTAATATCTAATACAAAGCTTTAGTTTTTGTTTAATCCGCAGAAGGAGTTCGTGCTGGTCTCAAGGCTGCTGCCATTGCCGCTGTAGTTAGTGCTGTGCCTACAGTACGTTAGCATTGACCTTACTCATCGATTTTATTCTTTGAATAAATGAAACTTAGTGATCCAAATTTATAAGTCATTTTGAATCCGCAGAAGGAATTTCTGTTTTCCTCCAAAAATATAAGTAATGGAATTGTCCTGAATTCAAGTGTCTATTTGGTCGATGCTTCTTTTTTCCTATAATTCCTACAATTGAATTATGGGGTCTAGAGTTATTTGCTTGAACAAATTTTATTTATAATCTCTGCGATTGAATAACGGATTTTTTTCTTTGGTTCCTGATGTAGACAATTGGAAGGAGCCATATTGAACATTGTCTTAAATATTGTCTTGTGTATGTGATTTATTTTGTGATGATCTCGTTGTTGAATATGTTTATGTTTAATGTCCAACAGTCGAGTTATATGCTTAAACAAATTTTATTGTATACTGAGGTAATAGTTACAAATTGCAAAGTTTAGGACCATATAGTTGATGCTGCTTCATCATTTTCCCTTTACTGAATAAGCAATCCAACTGTTGTTTAAAATTTTGAATTCTTTGACATTTTATTGTTTGAATTATATAGATTGCAGGTTATTTGGTGTTACAAATAGTTATGGCATAAGTACTCATTTACATAGATTAAATTGTACTACTATTACTTTTTAGTATCTGGTTTCAGTGCATTTCTTATTAAAAGATCAAAACACAATTAACTGAGTACCTTCAAAGTGGTGGAGAATATATTGGTGTTATGAAAACTATTGTTACAGTTTCATGATCTCCATTAGTAGAGGTCTGTGCTCAGTTCTTTTCCAAGGATGGATAACTTGATAATTGCTTTCTAATTGTATTCTGAATTGCCCCCACCCTTCCTTTTTCAATTGATTGCAGTTCGTAAGATCCCTTGGGCAAGGGCAAACCTCAACCATACTGCTCAAGCTCTTATCATCAGTGGAGGTATTCTCAAATCTTTGTTGTATGATTTATTAGTCTTAACCATCATATTCTCACAAGTTCTAACTTGTGAATTCATGATTTCTGTATGGCATCATATTAGTGGGTGGATCCAGTAACAACACAGAAATAGGAAGGAAATGAGAGTGACTTTATTATATAATAGATCGTACTAGTTTTGTCACGTCATAATATGGTTATCTTATTGGTTAACATCATCAATTGCCGCTTACTTCATTATTGTTGATAAAACTGTGTTGGAAAGTGCTAGGAGAAATTCTTGAGCCTAGTTCGATAAAACTATTTGAATGCCAGACCTGAAACTAGTTTAATGTTGTTTGACAAAGCTATGATATATGTTATAGTTTAATGCTATTGTATGGCACATAATGCAACTTTTTCTGAGTTTTATCTTCAATTGGCTGATTTCTCTTCTAGAATTTAAGCAGTTTAAATGTCTTTAGATGATATTTTCTCCTTCTATTTATTGGCATAGGTTATATCTCACTCATGTGTCTTTTATCATGGAATTGTGTGACTTCCATCATGTAGTTTTGGTTTGATTTACATTGTTTAAATACATGTTTTTATAGATCGGATATAGTGGAATGTATTAATATAGCAACCATGGGCAAGACGTACAGCCATATATATATATATATATATATCTTATATCACTCAAGAAAAATAGCAATTTCCTTGTACAAAAGAACCACAAAGTTCAAATGATCGGGTCTTTATCCAAAACTTTAAAAAGACAGTCAAAATGTGCCATAGGTTCTGTCATAACGGTTTTGTGTTCGTCCGACGAATTTGGAAACAAAATAAAAAATAATGGAGTTGCCACCAATCTTTTTTTAGTTAGGTGCGATCGGTCACCTATTAAAATATATCTTTTTAATGAAATCTTAAAATTTATTAAAAGGATAATTTTAGGGTTTACGTAATAATCTGGGTTTGGAAGACGGTTAATGTGGGGAAGAATTAGCACATTTACAATGTCCATTTAAAATGGTACCAATTAATTATGTGTTATCCATTGATTTCAATAAAAACAGTCTTATTTTCGGTGTTTGAAAAATAATTTTTTAAATAATTTCTTTGATTTTTCATTTATTAGAAATTATTTTTATAATGTATTTTTTAATGCTTAAATTTTATTCAAGAAAAATAAATTAGAACGCCTTTTATCAAAATAATTTTTAAAATATTATAGTACGTTGGTAACATTAAAAGAACATCTTCTCACATAGAGAATTTTTAGACATTGCTTCTTGAATTACTTTAGAATCTCATCATTGGAGGCTCAAATTTACTTTTTGTAAAAAAGCTATGTCGTGCATGTAATGTAAAATGTTATCATATTGATGCACATATTTTATTCTCTTTTTAAAAATTTTATTAATTTTTATTTTTAATTTAAATTTTTGAAGAAAAAAGAAAATTTTATTATATTGAAGTTTTTCTATAAATATTTCAATACATTGGTAATATTTTAAAAAAAATTTTTATCTAGAGATTCGTAAAGCATCACTATTCGAAATACTTTTAGAATTTTATCATTGGATAAATTTTTTTTTCCTTATTTATATTACTATTTTTTAATAATAAATTTTTAAATTTTTTTATTTTTATAAAAAATTTTTTTTATTGTATTGGAAATCTTTTTATAAATACTCCAATGCACTGGTAGTATTTAAAAAAAATATTTTTACCTAGAGATTTCGTAAGCATCACTACTCGGAGTACTTTCGAATTTCAATGTTAGATAATTTTTTTTCTTACATTTTTATTATTTTTTATTATTTTTATTTAATTAAATTTTTTTACCAATTATTTTATAAAGTTTATTCAAAATTATCAAAAAATTTTCTTATATATTTTATTATTTATTTTTATAAAACAACACAAATTTATTTTGGTAAATGTAAACATTTTAACATGTATAAATATTAAGAATAATAATTAACATGCATAAATATTAAGAATAATAATTAAAATAACAAAAATAATATATAAAAAATTTAAAAAAAAAATTAAAAAAATTTTTTTTTTACTTGAACCAAACTAGTCAATGGTTCAGTCAACAAACAGTGCGGTCCAACGTCAATGGTTCGGTCTGGTTAGGGCTGTTTGGTTCAACGGTTCGGGATAGTTTGGTTCGATCTGGGTTAGTTCATCTGGATCTGTCAGAGGGTGAAAGAGAAGCGAGTTTTTGGATTGGGTGCGTAGATCTTGGGTCGAGTCACTGGTTGATGCGCGGATCTTCAAGGCTTAAAACGACATCGTTTTGGGCGTTTATTGAAACAACGTCGTTTTAGCTATTGACAACTTATATAAAAGCTAAAAAAAAAAATTTTTCAGCCATTTTATCCTTTCTCATAAAAAAAATCATTTTTTTTCTTCAACCAAAACGCAGGTGGTTGACTGGTTGCCGTTGTCACTGGTTGTCAACCCTTGTCATCGGTGATCGAAAAAGTCAAAATCACTTAAAATGTTCTTCTCAACCCTTTAAATATAGATCCAGCTTTCGTTTCACCTGAAAGTATCCCAAATGGCGCAGATCTAGCCTAGAAGTTTTGATCAAAATTTTTTTTATGTTTGTGTTCTTTTTTTTTAATTTTTTTTGTATTGGTGCTGGGTTCCCCTACCATGGGGGTTGTGTTTTTAGATTTTTTACTTTTATTTATTTTTATGTATGGTATCTTTTTTGACAGAAAGCTTTTTTTTAAAAAAAATTTTTTGGTAGTTTTTTTTTCAATCCTTATTTTTTTTTCTTGCAGGTAACAAGCTTTATTTATAGAGTTTTTTTAAATTCAAATCTCATATTTTTTGAGATTTAAATATCATATTTTCAACCTAAAATTCATGTTGTTAAGTTAGGCAGTGTGTCAGACGGCTGCCGATGGTGGCGACGGTTGGCATTTTTAGACTTTGGTGATTGTGCATTTAATGCACTAGATCTTATCAAACTGAACCGGATAAACAAAGAAAAAGAAGAAAAAAAATAAAAATAAAATAATGATAATAAAAAAAATAATGTTTACAATTGTCTTCTTTTTGTCTTTTTCTGAGAATCAGGAATAAGACAAAGACAAACAAGCAATCATTTTGTTCTGAAAGAAGAAACATTGAGCACACAATTTTTTTTAAGGTTCTAGAAGTTTAACAACATTTTTGAAAATTTAAAAGGCTCATTTGAGTAGAGGCTTAACAAATTTAAAAATTTTTTTAAAAAAAATTCATCTAAATAGAGGCTCAATAACTTTTGAAAATTTTTAAAAAAACTCTTCTAAGCAGATGTTCAACAACTTTAAAAATCTTATCTTGGAAAAGCTTCTCTCAGCAGAAGTTCAACAATTTAAAAAATCTCATCTTGAAAAAGCTCTTTTAAATAAAGGTTCAACAACTTAAAAAATCTCATTTTAGAAAAGTTCCTCTAAGCAGAGGCTTGATAACTTTAAAATTTATCATTCTAAAAAAGCTCATCTCAGTAGATGTTCAACAACTTTAAAATTCATCATATTAGAAAAGCTCCTCTAAGCAGAGATTCAACAATTTTAAAAATCATCATCTTCGAAAAGCTCCTTTAAGTAGAAGTTCAACAACTTTAAAGAAATTTTCATCTTGAAAAAGCTTTTCTCAGTAGAGGGTCAACAACTTTAAAATTTTTTTTATAAAAAGCTCCTTTAAACAGAGGTTCAACAACTTTAAAAATCTCATCTTGAAAAAGTTCCTCTCAACAGAGACTAAACAACTTTAAAATCTCATCTTGAAAAAATTTCTCTCAGCAAAAGCTCAATAACTTTAAAAATATTATATTGAAAAAGTTTCTCTAAGCAGAGGCTCAATAATTTTAAAAATCTCATTTTGAAAAAGCTTTTTTCAACAGAGGTTCAATAACTTTAAAAATTTCATCTTAAAAAAATTTCTTTGAGCAGAGATTTAACAACTTTAAAATTTATCTTGAAAAAAGCTCCTCTCAACAGATGTTCAACAACTTTAAAATTTATCTATTCTTGAAACCAAGTCCTCATCTGTGAACAAGTAAATTTTTCTCTTTTGAAATTTTTTGTTTGATTATTATCTTTATCCAAATATCAAAATTTTGTTTTTCATTAGGAAATAGAAAGTCTCTGTCTTTATTATAACTGCTCATGGATGCTTATACTGAATGATCTAAATACAATGCATGTAATGCAATCAAAATTATTCATTATAGTAAAAAAGTTTTCAAAATCTCTCGCTTTTTGCTTTTTTTATCAGAATTCTCAACAATTATCATATGACCAATCTGTTCTTAACATTTGACCATTGTGTTCTTTCTTAACAATATTTTTCTTCTTCAAAAGTCTGCAACATCAATGTTTTATCATGCTTTTCTCATTTTTTTTCATCTGTCTTTGTCAACTTTTTAAAAAAGTAATGTTGAGATCTTTCGTGTTTGTTTTTCTTTTCATCATTTTAAGTTCAAGACAAATAAAATGTAATGATACATTTCTTCTATTTGTACGGTAAACAAAAATATCAAATGTGAATAAAGGAATGGATAGGGTTATTTTCAAAGAAAGATAACATATTTCATTAGACTGATAATAAGTGTATGGCAAAGTGTTTGAGTTGAAACAAAAATGCCCCAAATAATGCTCATAAGATAATCACGAACAAAAATTATCATATTTTTTTTTTAAAACTAAATCAGATGATTTTTTTTATCCTTCAGAGTTTGTCAAATTACGCTTGTTCCAATGTTGTAAGTACATCTAAGCCACATTTTTAGGTTTTCAGCTTAAATGAGTCATTATTTTTTATTATTTTGATTATTTTTTTAAGTAAAATATTTCTTTACAGTATCTGACTTTATTGGAGTAGGTAAATCATTTTCATTCATTTCTACCAAAATTAATGTCCCACCGAAAAAGGCCTTTTTCACCACATACGGGCTCTTCTAATTTGGTGTTCATTTTTCTCGATTGTCATATTGATTTGGAAAGATCTTTTTT